GGTCCAGCTGACAAGTTGAGAAATTAATAACCTTAGAGTATGGACCTGAGGTCAGAAGAAGAATTTTCAGCTTCTGCTTGTCTACGGTCAAGCTAATAGTTCCCTCCTGCACAGCTCAATATGGTCTTAACATCCCATATAGTAGCACTTTTGTCCTGAATAAATCCAACATCCATCCAGGTCCCCAGCTGCTGGCAATAAATGGTGATTTCTCCTTAGTGCCTTAGCAATTTTGAGTTTATCTAAAGGCTTTCATACCAAGTGTGTGACCCAATTTCCAGCCTTTACAGTGGTACAATGAAGCCTGGCTGAAATGTGGAGTGAGTAATTTTGCCAATGGTATTGATACTTAGTTTGTTGATTCATCTTGCTTTTAACTTTCTTTTTTACCTGTGGGGAGAGGGATCATAAATGTATGAGCACTCTTCCCACTCCAGGCTGAGGATACAGTGAGGTTGTATGGAGGTCAGGTCTAAGCTTGCTCCAAAGCAAATGGCATGTGCACATGTCAAGGTTTCTTCTTGACAGCCCATATTTGCCTGCTGGCTTCTGAATAGCTTTATTATGCATCACCAGTGTGTGACCACTTTTCCAGTCTCGTGTTGCTGCTTTCAGTGTTGAGGGGTTACGTAGCAGCTGGCTCAACAATCCGGCTGGATCCGAATTGGTGGTTGATCTAATAACACACGTGCGAGCATGGCTCTTGAATTGCTGGCAGCCTTTGCCTGCAGCATGGATGTACTGACAGTCTCTGCTAAAGTCACTGCTTTGCACTGGAAATCTCCACATCCTAGACAATTCATAAAGGGAGGTGTTTCTTTCTATTTCCTACAGACTATAAGTCTTCACTGGGATGTAAAGTGATTTTATATCCTCAGGCCCCTATACGATGACATTTATTTTCCTCTGTCTTTCATACTGCTTTCCACACTATATACTTCCACATCGTCAGCAGATATCAGCTAGACTATCCTTTAAAAAAAAGTTACTGTCAATCTTGCTAGGTACCCTTGGACAGAAGGGGGAAATAAAGTAAGTTATCTCCTAGGATAAAGAAAGAAGGAGTTTATTTGTAGTCTGTGGAACACAGAGGGTCAGATTGAGGGAAAGACTTATTTCCACTGTTTCATAGTCTCCAGTAGAATAATGAGTTTTACTATCCAGGTAAATATTACTTATTATTTGGAGATATTTATTTCTTTCTCTCAACAATCCCTCCTGTAAACTGGAGTTGGGCATAATCCAGTCTTTCATGTCTTCAGAGATCTCAAATCTGTAGTGTTATTATCACCTCGTCGGCTTCTTGGTTTCAAATAAAGCATCTTTCATTTGTTCTCAGACCCAGCACCAGACAAACACCTTCATCAGTATTGTTTCAGTATTACTGATATTATTCTGGGCAACAATATCTCACTTATCTTTGCCCCTTTTCCTCCAATGAGATAAACATAATGGTAATTTCTTTTCTAACTCAGTTCTTATTCCTGGTATTGAGCAAGGTTATTTGTCTTGAAAGGCAGCATTCTTTAGTTTTCTTCCCTGTTGCTGGTTGTTTTAAAAAAAAAAAAAAGTAGAAATTCATGGTAATGTCTTCTTTACAGGTTGCCAGGTCTTTCCTCCTGACACCACTCAAACTACACATGTTCTAGGGTTTTTTGAGATTTAATCCTTTTATAGAATATGTAAATAGTTTTGTGGGTTTTATTGCCTTTTTATTTTTAAGTAAACTAATGAAAAGTTACTGAATCGAGAATTCTTTCAGTTTATAATTCATAACTTCATCAAAAACCTTCCACTAAAAATTGCCAAGTTGAAAGAATTAAACAATATAACTAGCAATAGTAAAAAAGTTAAATCACTAAATATTAGTAAGTAATATCCGAATGCTCAGATGTACTTTTTACATTTCTTATTGCTCAAACTCTTACATATTCCATAGCTCCTAAAAGATGTAGCTGTTTATGGTACAGATTTGAGTGAGATATTTTTATTTTTTATTTAATCAGTTGGATTTTTTTTCAATATTAAAACTGCTTTGCTTTAATCAGAAAGTATTTAATGTTGGATGTTTCTGTTTCTCCTAATAATGAAAAAACCCCTCTTTTTAATAATTGTTTTCAACTTTGTTATGGCAAGCACTGCAAAATGCATTTCAGAGAGGAGGGCCTGGTTAATTCAGGAATGGATTCCATCTGTGTTGACGTTGGCTGCACAGCCCAGCCCGCCCCAGCTGTATGAAGTAACTGGTGCTCCAGCAAGGTCAAATTCAGACAAGCACCATTTGTGTTTCATTTCCTTTTTTCTTTCTTTCTGAATAACATTTTGTCTAAAAACAAGGATTTCCCCCTGCCGCC